GAGGCACCCCGGCTGGGTAAGACTAATTTCTTAACATCCAAGCATCCACTAGGCAACACAAGGCCATAGATCATTTCTATCTTCTTTACCACCAGAACCACCACAGAGCTGACACCTAGCAGCATTCAATAATTAATGAACATGAAAATATATGAAAGCACCTAACTTACAAATAAATGTTACATACACAGGATGCTTAGGATAAGCCTTACAATTCCAAGAATATGTGCTCAGAACTCAGATTAACATACCAGGATAAATAACCTTTTCCACCAGAGGATGTGACTCCAGAAACTGAGCAACTGCCATTCCATTTTCAAAATGCTTCTGCATTCGGACTTGTAGTGTCTTCAGACCTCGATTGCAGAGGTAACAGTCAAAAGGAGAGGGGACTGCCCCAATTGCTGCAAAATAAACATATCCTGGGTTAGTGTTGAAGGTGGGTAGGAATCCCCAACATTTTCTGACCCCTCTTTTTCATGATAGTGTCTCTGAGAAGCTAGCTACAAAACCCAATGCTTGAGTTTTAGGGTGGGCGGGGGGATTAATATCTCCAATCAGAAGCATGAGAATGGAGCATAATTTATGCTCAGAAGAATGGGCTTTAAAATGAGAGGGAAAAGGAATATCCTGAAAATTATGTACAAACACCGTAACTTTTCGAATATGAACATTAACAGTCCTTTCTATGATCTTAATAAAATGGCATACTGCACAGAGCTGAGCCTTGTATTTCTTTGCAAAAGTATTATAACATATAGAGAAAAAAGCAGGTCAGTTCCTGTTGTTACTGAATGTTCTACGGATAATCTATTTAGCTTTTGTCTAAAGCAGCCTATGACTTTACATGCCTCCAGGATATGGACCACACTCCGACTTTTTACAAATGAAACTTAACAAGCAATAAGTTTTAGTTTCCCTCCTCAGAGCCCCCTTTTGTTACTTTAATATTTACTTCCTAGAAGGGCACTTGTATCCCTAATTGTGTTTGTATCTTATGTGTTTGTCAAACTGTAATAATTAATTGAAGTCTCTTAAAAATCACTCCTATCTATCCTGGGATAACTAAACAATCTAACCAGGAAGTGATGTGTAGAGAGACATCTGATGAAAATTATGTTTATATCTTATGTGCTATTTAAAATTCACCACCATTTCAGATATAAAAAGTATAATATAAGAAAGTCATCATACCAAATGTTGGTGTTTAAAGAAAAGAAAAAAAATTCATTAAGTCTTAAAACTAAAAATCCACTTGGGCTTTAACCACGTTATGATCAAAATTAACGTGGATTTGAAAAAACACAACTCATCCTGTGTGTCATGCTGTAAAGCTCCATTACGCTATAACTAAATCTTTATAACCCCATTCTTCTACTTTCCTCTAAATACCCAATTTTTTTCTGATTTCTTTCTGAATTAATAGAATGCTATCACTTTACAACATTTAGTGGAAATAAAAAGATTAAATGTAGCCCCTGTGAGACCATAAAATAATCCAGATTTTTTCAATACTCACAATTCTGCAGGAATCGGAGCTTCTCATGGAGGCTCTCAGAATTAACAGACACTAAGCCCATTACAACATCGCTGTGGCCTGAGAAAAAACAAACACTGTTAAGTTAAAAACAACTTTAACTTCAATTTATAATTGTTTTTACTTCAATTTATAATTTCTAAAATGTGATTTTCACTTGAGCGAACTCTGGAAAAAAGCCCTCTAGAATAAGTTTAAATAAACTTTATTTTATAATAGCAAAAGCCATACTCAAAATAATAAAATAAAAATCATATAAAAAGTAAATGTTTCTTTTAAAGCTGTAAGCAGGATGAACGTATAATCTTTTATAGTAAAATTTAATCCTCTCGCCAAACCGGTTTGGCTCAGTGGATAGACCGTCGGCCTGCGGACTAAAGGGTCCCAGGTTCGATTCCGGTCAAGGGCATGTACCTTGGTTGTGGGCACACCCCCAGTGGGAGGTGTGCGGGAGGCAGCTGGTCAATGTTTCTCTCTCATCGATGTTTCTAACTCTGTATCACTCTCCCTTCCTCTCTGTAAAAAATCAATAAAATATATTTTTTTTAAAAATTTAATCCTCTGCTCATAAATCATGAGCATAGTTAGATCTGTTATAAATGAAATCTTATATTTAATCAAAGTGTAATTTTTTTACTTGCTACATGAGTCACAGAGAAAACCTAAATAATAGCGGGAGAAAAGGGATCAAAAGTGTCAAAAATAGCCCTACGCTATTTTCATCGATTCATGGAAAAGAACTTTCAAAGTGTAGATTCTGCATGTCTTACCATTCATATATTTTGTTGCTGAATACATACAAATATCAGCTCCCAGAGCCAAAGGTCGCTGAAAAGAACAAAGGTTTTTATTTTAAATAAGAGATCACCTGAAAATATGTTTCATTACTTGACTATTTGTTATTGTAACAACCATTCCTATTCTAACTTTTCAAAAATATATACATCTAAAATGTTCCAGGATCCCTGATACTGTTCCCTTTCTTACCTCCCCCAAATAAAAATACAAAGAATTGGACCCAATAGTCGATCCAAAGGCACAATTTTTTTAGAAAGAGCAGGTAAACTCAGGCCCACGGGTCTCCTGAACCTGTTTCTCTAGGGCAGTTGCTGACTGGCTCCTAAATTTATGACTTACAGCAGAAATGTGGGCATTCTTAGGATTCAGTAAACACAAAAGATAACTGACATAAACATTCAGCAAGTAATCTCTTGGATTTTTAATCATTAAAACCTGACAATATATGCTGTGCTTATTCACTTGGTTTGCCATGATCTTGACTCTTAATTACTCCTTTATTACACTAGTTTTGCCAAGTTTAAATCACTTATGAAGAAACTTGTTTGCACCCAGC